CCCCCTTCTTAAGCTAGAGGTTTCCATAGAATCTAATGCTCATTAGTTTGTTTAAAATTACATAGAGATATGATTAATTTAACAAACCAGTGAAGGATTAACTTGACTTGAGAAAGCTAGTTAGTTAATTTAGGGAAATCCACCATCACATGCAATAACACTTAACAATTTGGTAATCCAGAATTTATATTGATTGATTATGGTGAAGTCAATGCCTTAGTATTTCATATCTTGGTTAGTTTTATTTTAATTGCTAGTTTCTTTTTGTTATTTTAATTAAAATTCCATCTTGTCGATTGTTCAAATAAATTTAGATTAATTGTTTTGGTACTTAATTAGACACAATCCTCGTGGGTTTGACACTCTCTCATCATTATATTACTTGGAGCGACTAGTACACTTGTTAGGGTGATTTTAGTGCATCATCCCCCACAAAAAAAAAAATTTAGAACAGGAGAACCCAAAGCTCGGTTCCCTGTGAGGAACCCGATCTGGGTTCCTCGGGAGGAACCCATGAGGAACCCGACTCTGGGTTCCTCGTCATGAGGAACCCAAATCGGGTTCCTCACAAGGAACCCAACTCTGGGTTCGGCGAGGAACCTAGATCGGGTTCCTCACAGGGAGATCAAATGCTTTCTTAGCATTGCTGCACCTGCAGTATCCATTAATCAAAATGTTATATGTTATCTCATCAAGAACCATTCCTTTATCTTCGATTTCTTTTACCAAATGATCAGCTTCAACCATTTTCCCTTCCATAAAGAGAGCATGAATTAACAAATTGTAAGTCGATACAGTCGGCATTATACACTGCTTAACCATTTCATCCCTATAAACAAAAGCCCTATCTAGATCCCCTTTATTGCAGTAAGCATCAATTAAAGTGTTGTAGTTCACAACAGTGGGAACCAAACCTATTTCTCTCATCTTTTCGAACATCTCTGATGCCCCCTCGAGTCTTTTTTCTTTGCACATCCCACTAATAAGAGAACCATATGTGTACGAATCAGGTTCAATACCCTTGGCCACCATTGCATTCAAAACCAAGCGAGCACCCTCGTACCTCCCTTTAGAACAATACCCATGAATTATCGTATTATAAGTAACAACATTGGGCTTAACCCCTAAACTCTCCATAAAGACAAGGAATTCCTTCGCCTTCTTCAACTTCCCTCCTTTACACAGCACATTAATCATTGTATTATATGTATGAAGAGTGGACTTAACCTTCATCCTAAACATCTCAGCATACAAAACCCATGTGCTCTCATTTCTCTTCAACTTCAGAAACAAGCTCAACATATCATTACAAGTCTCAATCTTTGGCACTAGACCCTTCTCCTTGTGAGGAACCCGATTTGGGTTCCTCACGACGAGGAACCCATAGTCGGGTTCCTCAGAGGAACCCAGATCGGGTTCCTCGGGAGGAACCCAGCTCGAACCCTCTGGGTTCCTGGTGAGGAACCCGATCTTGGTTCCTCGCCGAACCCAGAGTTGGGTTCCTTGTGACGAACCCGATCTGGGTTCCTCACGACGAGGAACCTAGAGTCGGGTTCCTCATAGGGAACCGAGCTCTGGGTTCTCCTGTTCTAAAATTTTTTTTTTTGTGAGGGACGTGGGGACAAGCAGGAAAAATCCCGTGTAGTGGGCCCCACTGCACACGTGGCGTCCACGTATGCAAAAAAGAAGCCACATCATAAAAAAGCAGATCCACGTTTGAACCTAAAGAATAAGGAAACACCACATGTGCCACGTCAATTTTTGTGTGCCACGTAGTGCATTTTTTAACGGTGCCGTAACAGTCTGTTAAAATATTGGGTTTTTTACGGATTTTGAAAAGTGGAAGGTGTGAATAGGGAGGAAAAATTCTGGAAGGTGTTGACCATGAAAAAGAAATAAATTGAGGGTGCAAATAGGGGCTTTGGCCTTTTATTAATGTTCTGACTTTTTATATATTTGAATATGTACATATAATGTTGACAGTAGATGCAGTTTTAATAGAAATGAGCATATCATAATTGTGATGATTTTGTTTGGTTGATTATGTTCTTGATGTGCTTCCATTGATGGCGAGCAATTTGGTAGTTCATAGTGTGTTTGAATGGTAATGTGTGGTTTTTGTTTTAAAGTTTGATGTGCATGTCCATTTTAATGGATCATTAGTATTTTTTACAATTTGTGATTGTATATAGAAGGATTTTGAAGTTTATTTGATAGTAATGTATGTCTCATACTCCAGTCAATACAGATTATACCGTTGATGTTGCTGACAAAAAGGCAAATTCTGGAAAACTAGAAAAATGGGCTTAAGAGTCGAATATATCAGTCCATATTCGACTCTCCAGGCTATGAGAGTCGACTATAAAGCATTAAGAGTCGACTCCCAAATTCCAGTGAGCGGGAAATGTATTTGCTACATCTCATAGTCGACTCTTCATATATAGAGTCGACTCTTTTTGCCAAAAGA